CCCTCCTTGTATTTAACCCACAAGCTTCTTATTTTTATACTCGATGTGGGATTTTCCCACTTAACACGCCTCCTCACATGCAAGCCCACTATGAATGTTGGGTCCTGTCACGTGGTTAACACACCCCCTTAAATGCCAGGTCAGTATCAACTTGGATCCTGTCAAGTGGGTTAACAACGAGCTTCTCAGGGTAAAATCTGGACTCTGATACCATGTTGAAAATCTTGCATGTGGGCTCAACACAAGGCTTGCATCCAACCTAAAACCAATTGGCAATAGGTGGAGTAACCCTCTTTGTATTTACCCACAAATTTCTTATTTTTATACTCGATGTGGGATTTTCTCATTTAACACGCTCCCTCACGTGCAGGCTCCACTATGAATGTTGGGTGTTGTTACGTGGGTTAACATGCCCCCTTAAATGCAGGCTCGGTATCAACTTCGGGTCCTGTCAGGTGGGCTAACAACGGGCTTCCCATGGTAGAACCTGGGCTCTGATACTATATTGAAAATCCTGCATGTGGGCTAAATACAAGATTTGCATCCAACCTAAAACCAATTGACAATAGATAGAGTAGTCCTCCTTGTATTTAATCCATAAACTTCTTATTTTTATAGTCGATGTGGGATTTTCCCACTTAACACGCCCCATCACGTGCAAGCCCACTATGAATGTTGGGTCCTGTCACGTGGTTAACACGTCCCTTAAATGCAAGCCCGGTATCAACTTCGGATCCTGTCAGGTGGGTTAACAACGGGCTTCCCAAGGTAGAACCTGGGCTCTGATACCATATTGAAAATCCCACATGTGGGCTCAACACAAGGCTTATCAATTGGTTTTAGGTTGGATGCAAGTCTTGTGTTGAACCCACATGCAGGATTTTCAATATACAGATGCCATGGACAAGCTAGAGAGGAAAGAGGAAAGAAAGAGTGGAAAAAACTAAAGAGGAGGCAACGGCGGATGGCGAGAAAGGAAAGGACCAAACCCTACAGAACCCCCTAGGGGCGCATGGAAAGACAAACAGTTTTCTTTCCTGCCCTAGGGAAATTTTAGTTCGTCTTTTTCCGAAATTGTTTGCATTTCTTATTTTCATTTTCGCCATTTATACTACATAACTAGTAGTCTTTAATCCAGCCCTTGCATTTACTTTTGAATTCAGTAAGCTCGAATAACCGTACACTTGGATAATTAATGTTAAAAGTCACATAGCATTAATTGAACTCTTGCATAATTAATGTTAAAGTCACATAACATTAATTGAACTATTGGATCTATCTTTCATAATGAATCTTGTTTACAGAGTTGCGGCGGAGACGGTTGTCCAGATGAAAGCAGATCATTCAGTCATGTTGTCCACATATCCGCCGTTGCTAGCACCGTCGCCACTGGGATATACTAGACGTCGGCCAACTCAGATACCATGCTCTGTTTCTCCCAAGGGGTATTCACTAGCCTCTGATTTTTTTTTTTCACAAAAAAAAAAAGGTTAATTTTTTTCCTCAAACTTTTTGTTTGGGGAAATAGTCTTAAAATATAATTAAATATTAAAATAATCTTTTTGTTTCCTTAATGTTAATACATACGGTTTCCTTATCGTTAATTTTTTCAAATTTCATTGAGTTTTTCACTTTTTTGTTTCTATAATACCATAATGACTCTTGTTTACAGAGTTGCGGCGGAGACGGTTGTCCAGATGAAAGCAGATCATTCAGCCATGTTTTCCACATATCCGTCGTTGCTAGCACTGTCGCCATTGGGATATACTAGGCGTCGGCCAACTCAGATAGGATGCTCTGTTTCTCCCATGAGGTATTCACTAGCCTCCGATTTTTTTTTTCACAAAAAAAAATGGTTAATTTTTTTCCTCAAACTTTTTGTTTGGGGAAATAGTCTTAAAATATAATAAAATCTTAAAATAATCTTTTTGTTTCCTTAATGTTAATACATATGGTTTTCGGATCTTTCAATTAAAATTATAAAATTAAAATCGTTGAGGATTGGAGTTTTAAGATCATTTTGGTCTAAATATGAGAATTCTGGATAATTTAACTTTTTAATTTCAAGGAGTTTTTCCCTTCTTTATTTTTTTATAAATTTCAGGGAGTTGTGTTTTGGTTTTTGTATGTATATATATTTTTAGAATTATTATTATTATTAACTTTTGTTTATAACCGTCTTGCGGCGGAAACATTTGTCCCTATTGAAAAAGCGAAAACAGTGGATAATTCCGTCCAAGTTTACGAGTTTACCCAAAACCTATCATCCAAACTCCCGGGATTTGTGAAGCCAGCATTTTTGGTGATGCTGCTGACCTCCTAGCTAGTCATTTTTGTTCACACAATGTCTTCTCAGATACAATGCCTGGTACTACCATATTTGCTTCTATTTATTTTTCATTTTAACAATTTAGGTTGTCGAAATTTTGACAGATTGATTTTTTATTTTTCGGCAGCATCATTTGAGGATTCGCCAAAAAAACGTTGCTGCTCGCATTTTTTTCTTGGTCAGTGTGATGGTAGGTTATTTTTAAATTCAAATTTAATTTCTTTTCAAAAAAATTATATTACAAAATTTAAATTTATTTATTTTATTGTAATTTTGAAATATAGAGAGCTGTGGAGAAGTTCAGGTGGTGGACATTGGTGTTGGATGAAGCCAGTAACTCAATGGGAAGGATTGCGGAGGTTGCTCTAATGGTGATGGTTATTTTCGTCTTAAGGTGGGCTCTTTGTTAAGTATCTTATTAGGAAGGTAAAAAAAATTGGTATAGTTTTATATGGTAGTATTACAAGCTTCATTTCTTAGCATGCTAGCCACTAAATTATATGCAAACAACAAATATGTACAAAGTTTCATCACTAGTTGAACTTTATATAAAATTTTTTCCTTTTGGTATTCATCTAGCTCATTATTTTTGTTGTTTGGGTTAGTTTTTTAATCCTCCTCCTAACCATATTCTTATCTAGTACTACCTCAATCCATTTTTAATTGTCACGCTTTTTTGTGTGACATGGTAAAAAAAAAAAAATTTTAAGAAAAAAACTCAAAAACACAATTATATATACTATCTTTTTAAATTTTCATCCAATTCCAAGTAAGAAAAGCGAGGGCAATGAAGGGATAAGACGGTAAAAATTAAAAGTGTGATAAGATCAAGAGATTAATCCCCCAGAGACATCTTGAAAAATTTTCAAGGGTTTGGCACTTTGGCTTTGAGATGCAAAGGGAAGATGATGGGTATGAAAGATGTAGGGATTGGAGAGGCAAACAAGAAGAACTATGTTAATGGTATGGTGGGGCTTGCCTTGGGAGAAACAAATGGTTTGAGATATGATATATTAGGGACATGTATACTAATAGATTTTTTACTTTGAATTTAAAATTTAAACCTATAAATATCTACTTTATTTTATTAATTTTACCTTTATATTTTACATTAGAAAAATCCCTCTTTTTTTTTGTGAACTAGAGGCACTATTTCAGTCATCAGTTTTGGACCATACTCATCGAACAATTTTTTTTTTTTTTAGGTTTTGCCTGATACTAAAAATTTGGGCCCAAAGCCCAATTAAGTTAAAACTATTTGGTGTTTGAAAATTGGTTATCGGGTACTTTTTCAAGTTTGGATGTTTTTTCCCAACTAGGGTTGGGAGGTCAATAGTATCACTAGAAATGTTGGTTTCATGAATCCCGGAAGTTTAAATGATGGGTTTAGAGTAAATTCATAAACTTCGACAAAATTGTCCACTGTTTTCGCATTGTCAATGTGGACAAATATATCCACCGTAGCATGATTATAAAAAAAGTTTAATGATAATAATAATTATTCTAAATATATATATACTAAAAACAAAATACAACTCCTTGAAATTTTTTACCAAAATGAAAAAAAAAAATCTTGAAATTAAAGGTTAAATTACCCTGAATTCTCAATTTTAGACGAAAGTGGTCTTAAAACTAAGTTGGCTTACGCTTACTATATCCTAGTGGTACACATGGCAACTAGTAAGTACCATGATATAGAAGGAACACAGCATCAAATTTGACTTGGTTTGCACCTACTGTATCCTGGTGTCACACATGGCGACTAGTAAGTAGCCCAACATAGGAGGAACATAGCATCAAATCTGAGTTGGCTTACGCCTACTGTGTCTCGATGGCATGCATGGTGACTAGTAAGTATCCCAACATAGGAGGAACATAGCATCAAATTTGAGTTGACTTATGCCTATTGTATCTTAGTGGCACATGTGGCAACGATGCTAACAATGACGGATATCTGAGTGTGGACTATGAAGTAGAATGAGCAATCACAACAAAAGAAAGCTGTGGTATGTTTATTTTTATCTATATTAGATTACTTGTACAAAATGAATTAAGTGAATACACGTAAGTGTTCTCTCAAATATCATTATCTTCTTCCTTCCACATGGACAGCATGGCTAAAAAGCAAAATAGTGGTATGTTTTCTTAATCTGGACAACCGTCTCTGTCGCAATACTATAAACAAAAGTCACTATATAATATAAAAACAAAAAAACTCCATGAAATTTAAAAAAATGGTAAGATTAGTTAAGTATCCCAAGAAAGGATCTTTGCTATCAATTGGAACCCAATAGCATCAAATCTAAGTTTCCATACAGTTTGGTGGAACTTGTAGTGTTGGTACTAGCAACAATGGGTATTGAAGTATAAATGACATTGCTAACCAGTAAACATGGTGGTGTAAAAATAGTGGCATAAAAATATAGCCAAATAAGCTTGCCTCAAAAAATATATAGAAAAAAAAGAACATTCTGATATTGTTAGGATTTTTAATTAAACTATTAAGTATGTGAAGGTATGGTATAAGTTTTAACTTTATTAAATTTATCATACAGTTATTATTAAAAGTCTTAATATTTTTTAATATCAGAATATCTTGATTTTTCTTATTCTTTTATTAGAAAAATAGAAAATCAAGACGTCTTAAAATTTAAAATATTAGGATGTCTAATTATAGTCATTAAATATGTATAAATAATTTTATATAATAAATAAGTAACAATTAAATTTTTTTTTTCTATATTTGTCGATTTGTCCAACTTGGAAGTTAAATTGGGCTCCCATGCACTGCTCCTATGGTTGAGGATAGTGGCGGTGGGATTCCTCCCTAGGGTTTCTCTCTGATAGACAAGTTCTTTCACCCCTACTTTCTTCCTTTTGATCTCTTCCTTTATCTTAGTCGATTGACTTGCTTTGGAAACTCCAACCTAAGGGACCACAAGGCAACGCCATATCTAGGTTTCATTGTTTAGGCATCCTAAGAGGTTCGCTAGTTTTACGTCTATTGTTGATTTTAAAAGGGTTGCAATTGCAATACGAGAGAATTGCTCTTGCCAGCGACTAGGGTTTCTCCTATTTGACTAGCAAGAACCTTGTTTCAACACATCTCCTCAAATTGGATCTTGGTGAAGGTTGGACTCGAAGAAACTAGTTCACACTAGTTTCTGATCGAGCTATGCGTGGAGGGCCATAAGTGGCTTTTGGTGTGAAGGGACAAGTTTACATGCTGCCTAATTGGGGTTTGTTGCTATCAAGGCCCTTGGTAAAGCAAAATGGTGCTAGTTTGGGTTGTCAATTTACTAGTAAGAAATTACCATATAATTAGGAGAACTGTTTTGAAACCCGACTTGGTCTAATTAGTTCAACTAGTTGAACCAAACCTAGTTCTAAGTAAGTGATGATAATGACTTGTTTGGAGTCAAACTCAATCGAAACCTGTTTAAACCCAATCGAACACACTTAAACCTAGTCAAA